AGTATCTGACTTTTGGAAATCAAATGAGAGGTAATATTGAATATGAACTCCAACAGATTGAAAAGCAAAAAGAAATTGAATATAAACCAGTGTATGATTCAACATCATTTAAGTAAAGATTATTTTTACAATGATTTCTTGTGATCTTTTTTTTTCATTATAGAATTCCTGAAGAGCATCAAGATAAAATAAAAGAATGGCTAGAGTATGATTTTCGCATGCGTATTGAAGGAAATATTACTCGATCAAGATGCTTATTCTTGATTGGACCAACTCAACATAGTATTTAAGTTAAATATTTCTAATCTATATTAGCCTGTTCACTACCGCTTCCGTCATATTGAAAAAAAGTGAAAGGTAAGAGAATCTTTTTTCGTTCTGCTGTATCGATAGACGCATATGGAACGAATATTAGATGAACAGCAGACACTTTTATGAGCGAAACAAAGCATTTGCGCATATCTGATCAACAGTAACAGAAAGAAGAGAGCACGATGCCTTTTGTTCTTTACTTTTTGATGTTCCTGCACGATGAAAGATATTGTTATTCTTCAATGGGTTAATCACACAAATTAAAGGGCACTATCTCGTCACGGATAAATGTAGATCAATACTGACAGCATTGTTGTGTTCTAAGATGTTAGAGTTATTTCGAAAATTGATGGAAATGAAAAGGCTTTGCGCACTATTGGGTTATTGTAATAATTGCCATTGAGTGCAAAAAGCGACATCACTAAAGATTAGTCTGAAATGAATGAACAATGACATCTATGTATGGCATTCATCTGTGCTCTCCCTTCTGAAAATGTCTCCGACTGCTTTTTCAAAGATGAAAAGATAGACAACGCATGTTTATAATAAGATAGTTTACTATGAGAATTGTGTTTTTCTATCAGAAATGGCTATGGCTATTAGAAAGCTTTAAACTTAAATTCACTAATGATCATTACCATTAACAACGGGACAAATATAATAAAAAAGCTGTTGATAAAGACAAAAAAATTGACATACTTTTGGCAACTAAAACTTCACCTGAGGATCATCTAACTAACTTTTTTACGTATTGTTATTGACAATACAATTCAATAACTAGTTTCAAAAAATGTGACGATCTCAACAGCTCGTAATCCATTATAAACTTACTTAAACCTCATCATTTCAAAAATCTGACAACGCCATCGTGTTTCCCGAGCCCGATTACATTCGGTCAACCCTTTCTCTTCAGGTATGGTTTGAGGCAAGTTGACTTTATACATCTGTTTTCCTATTGGACGAACGAACGCGTTTAACTCGTTTTTCGTAATACCCTCCTTTCAGTAGAGGGAAAAATGTTAGACCAGTTGAAACTAAAACAAATTGGTGGTCTCAAAACTGAAACAATTATTCGTCTAAGTCGATTTGTTATGCAAAATAACTACTTCTCATATGATGATCAATATTATCATCAAGTAAGAGGAGGAGCAATGGGTTCTCCTCTTACTCTAACTATTTCCAATTGCTATATGTACTTCTTTGAAAGACAAATAGTTAATCAAATTCGAAATAGTGGTGGACTATATTTCCGATATATTGATGATATATTTATAATAACCAACTGGCCTGGTGGACATCTACTTAAAGAAGTAGATAGATGGAATAAATTCGATGAAAATATTAAGCTATCTGCAAGCATTGGCCCAACTGTCAACTTTCTCGATTTACAGATAGAAAATAAAGATGGCCAACTATTGACAACAGTTTATCAAAAACCATCCTACGAACCATATTACTTGCCATTTAATAGTATTCATCCCTTGCATATGAAAAAGAATATTCCATTTGCCATGCTACTACGAGCTATTCGATACTGTTCAACATTTGAATCATATCTAAATGAACGTGAGAAATTAAGAATGGCCCTATTATTGAATAAATATCCAAATAAAACAGTCGATGAACAATTCAATAATATGTTATTAAAATTCAACATCAATGAACCATTGACCTTTAATAATTATGTAAGATACCGTCAAATAGTTATAAACTCTCCTATTAAAGAGAAACTAGTGGTAAATTATGAGAAATCAATTTTTGTCCATTTTACCTAATGTTCAAGTATGAGAATATTTCCTGTAAAATTCCATACTCTATGGGACAAATACTTCAATAAATCTCCCATCAACGAAGTTATCCAAATCCTGGGTACAAGAAATGTCGATAATCTCCAACGACGACTCATCAATACTAGATCCATATGCTAGATATAGAATAACAAAAAACTGAGGAATTGAATGGACTATCAAATTAAGAATTATGTCAGTGAAATACACCAGCCTAAATATTATATTCAAAAAGAATTATGTCAGTGAAATACACCAGCCTAAATATTATATTCAAAAAGAATTATGCCAATTAAATACACCAGCCTAAATATTATATTCAAAGCCAATTATATTCAAAGACAAGCAAATAAACTTGAAAGTGTGTCCTAAATCCATAGTCTCATATTAGATTAGAGTTATACTACTGAACTCATAAGCAATAGACTTATATCGGACTAGATTTATATCACTCAACTTACACTCGATCTAGATTATAAATCAAATTGAAAAGCATTAATAAAAATCCCTATTATAGTCAAATATATAACAAAGATTACAAACAACTCAAAATATGTTTCATTAAAGAATCTATTAAAAATTATTTTCGATACTATTTTTGGTTCTGGATTTGGAATAAATTCGATTTGGATTTGAAGTGATTTGGAGTGTTTCCAGTTTAGATTTGGAATAAATTCGGTTTGGATTTGGAGTGATTTGGAGTGTTTCCAGTTTAGATTTGGAATAAATTCGGTTTGGATTTGGAATAAATTCGATTTGGATTTGGAATAAATTCGATTTGGATTTGGAATAAATTCGATTTGGATTTGGAATAAATTTGATTTGGAATAAACTCGGTTCGGTCTTGGAATAAATTCGGTTTGATTTTGGAATAAATTCAATTTGGAATAAACTCGGTTTGGATTTGGAATAAATTCGGTTTGGATTTGAAGTGATTCGGAGTGCTTTCAGTTTGGATTTGGAGTGTTTTCAGTTTCGATTTGGAGTGTTTGTAGTTTGGATTTGGAATGATTTCAATTTGGATTTGAAATTTGGAGTAACTTTCAATGTAGATTTGGAGTAACTTCCACCCAATTTCAATTTGGATTTGGATTTCGATGGAGCAAAATTGGCATCCATCTTCCAAATGAACTTCAAAATATCAAAGACTTCGATAGAGACCCATGCAATCGAAGACTTCGATCAAGACCCATTCAATCATAGAATTCGATCAAGACCCATCCAATCAAAGACTTTGATCAAGATACACCCAGTTAAACGACATATAGACCCGTCTAAAATAATGTTTTCGGATCAAGTTATCGTTTTGGAAACTGGAATCTAAAGTATGTAGATTCCAGGCATCTACCACATTTGACAAATTTGTTTGTTTTTTATCCCATTATATAAATTGGTGTTATATTCCACTCTATAAATTTGTATTCTAATTTGTAATTTTACCTCTTTCTTATTCCTAAACTTAAACTTGTGCTTATTTGTATCGCAGAGCCCTGAAGAGTGTTTCATTATTTCAATAAATAAATAACACGAAACGCGTCGGCGAAATAAAACTCTGCATTTTATTTAATTCAAGCACAAACGTTAAATATTCAATGTAATATAATATTATTTTTCGAATTCGATCGATTACTGAAAAGTAAGAGTTGAGACTAGCAGATTGATTTGTCTTTTCGTTAAGAGATAGGTTAATCTGTTTTGAATTGATTTAGAACAGTGTGAACTCGTCTTGAATTGATTTTTGTTCAAAATTTTATGTTTGAATTTAAATCGACTAAAAGATATTAAGCCACCTGACGAGACCCCTAAGCAAGGTCGAAATCGATTGTGGTAGCTTCCTACACTCCCCCCACACCACCACCCTATGAAACGTTTTTATCATCATATATTTAAGAATTTTTCTTGTATATGATAGTTTATAAATTAATCTTTTGATTTTTGATCTTTTTATCTTAAATCATTAAAATTATTTACCATCTGATGATTCCTTTAGTAAGGATGAAATCTATAGATCATGGTAGCTATTCACACCCACACCCTCGATCGTTAATTTTCTAGATCTGAATATGGAAAATCGAGACGGCCAGCTATATACGACAGTCTTCCAAAAGCCATCCTATGAACCATACTATTTGCCATTTAATAGCATCCATCCATTACATATGAAAAAAAATATTCCATTTTGCCATGTTATTACGTGCCATCAGATATTGTTCAACATCTGAATCATATCTAAATGAACGTGAAAAATTAAGAATGGCGTTATTACTTAATAAATATCCAAATAAAATTATCAACGAACAATTCAATAATGTATTATCAAAATTTAGGATTAATGAACCATTAACTTCAATGAATTATAATGGATCTCGTCAAAAAATTATAGATTCTCCTATGAAAAAGAAACTACTGGTGAATTACGAGAAATCGATATTTGTCCACTTTACCTATTGTTCAAGTATGAAGACATTTCCTATAAAATTCCATAGCTTATGGGAGAAATACTTTGATAAATCTCCAATTAATGAAGTTATCCCCATACTTGGTACAAGAAATGTCGATAATCTACAAAAACGGTTAATACATACAAAGTCTAAAAATTGATCAAAAATACTGAATTTTCCATACGATTGAACTTAAATATATTTATTAAATACTCAAATATAACCGCAAAAATCAAATTAATACTAAAATATAACCGCAAAAATTAAGTCGAGATATTATACTTAAATCTACTTTTATTCTCAATACTAATAGTCGAACTTAAATCTACTTTTATTCTCAATACTAACAATCGAACTTAAATCTACTTTTATTCCCAATACTAATAGTCGAACTTAAATCTACTTTTATTCTCAATACTAATAGTCGAACTTAAATCTACTTTTATTCTCAATACTAATAGTCGAACTTAAATCTACTTTTATTCTCAATACTAATAGTCGAAACTAATTTTACTACAGAACAGTATTAAATTAGATTGAGCTCAATACTGATAGTCGAATTTAAATTTACTATCAGAACAATACTAAATTGAATTTAACTTATCTATTGATCACTATTGAATCTATCAAATTTAACTAAATTAGATAATGATGAAATCAGTATGGAATTTATTCAATTCAAAACTTTAAATCTATCAGTACAAATCTACTATCACTTTTCAATCTATTCAATCCAATTTTAATAATTCAATTTTAACAATTTCACCTCGAAGATGAGATTGGTTCAAATTAGTTTTATTATAAATTTTACTATAAATTTTAATATTAGGTTATTATTGGATTAGATTAAATCATAATTTTAATATTAAATCGATATTAAATTAAGTTGGAGTTGTAATTTTAATATCAAGTTATAAACGAATTAGATTAAAAATTTTAATTTTAATATAAAGTTATAAATGAATTAGATTGAAAGTTTTAATTTTAATTTTAATATAAAGTTATTATTGAATTAGGTTAAATTACAAAACTGTCGCATAGAAATTCAATTCAATTATGAGCTATATGGTTTAATATTGGAAATTAGTTAGATCATAAAAATCGATACGATATTAGTCAAATCATAAACATCGATACGATATCAGTAAAGACAATAGAACGAAAACCTGCTAAGCATACATAAGGAATAAGTAAAGACAGAAAAGAGAAAAGAGAAAATATATTAAATATAGTAAACGAAAGAGAAACATACATTTACAGTCAAAACGACTATTGAACAGTCTAATATCCGGCAACGTATCCATTGATCATCATGACCTCAAAATTGGACAAAGTATCCAAGCCCACATTGATGTTCCAAATTGTCACCGTGACTACAAAACTGGATAACGCGTCCATGGGCACATTGATCAACGTCGCTCTAGAAACAGATACAATTTGTTC